TTATTGTTTTATTGTCCTCTGAACTATGTCTAACTGCTATTCGTGCATTTATAAGTTATAAATCACTAGATTGAATCCAAATTGTAACATGAAACTACAATCGTTTATCCTAAGTAGCTTTAAATTCATAACAGTTTACATCTACGTATAATTAAATTTTATTGTTTTATTGTCCTCTGAACTATGTCTAACTGCTATTCGTGCATTTATAAGTTATAAATCACTAGATTGAATCCAAATTGTAACATGAAACTACATTCGTTTATCTTAGTAGCTTTAACTTTGTAAAAGTTTACATCTACGTATAATTAAATTTTATTGTTTTATTGCCCTCTGAACCATGTTTAACTACTATTCATGCCATTATAAGTTATAAATCACTAGATTGAATCCAAATTGTAACATGAAACTACATTCGTTTATCTTAGTAGCTTTAACTTTGTAAAAGTTTACATCTACGTATAATTAAATTTTATTGTTTTATTGCCCTCTGAACCATGTTTAACTACTATTCATGCCATTATAAGTTATAAATCACTTGGGGAATGTGGAGGATGACACTTAACCCTACATTTTTATACTAATGGTAGTAATACACTAAATCATTTTTATTTAATTAAATAATGCACCATAGAACATAGACTAATAACATGTAAAAAGTTGACAATTTCCTCTCACAATTTTTCTATGAGACAAGAACCATTACAAAATCATTCAAGCTTGTCATTATCTTTTCCGTGGGAAAGAAGCTTGTAATAATGTTATAGGTTATATAGAATTAAACGTAAGAGAGAACTATTAACAAATCCTGAAAGAAAGGGTGTGGCAGGAGGTGTCTGATTTTCTATTTAATGGCTTTATAACCAAACAAAATTGAAGGATATAAAAATTGTTTGTCTGAGCAATGACGATTTTATAGTGTGTAATTTACATTGAATTTCATATTTATTTGAGGGATGGATAAAAGAGGGGAAGTCACACTAGGGGAAATTCCAGATTTTTAAAAAATATTGCCTTATAAAATTAAAAATTTAAAACTTGTATACTATTAAAATGTAGATTATTAGCTAAGATTTTATGCTATACTAATTGGTATAACATAAACAGAAAGTAGTTTAATAAAATTTTGAATG